TAAAACAGTGGCCAGGAATAAAGGCAGGGTGGGGGAGACTCTGACAGGGGGCTTCTGGGGAAACTGGAGGGACAGGAATAAAGGTGCCTGTGGGTGGGGGTTTCTGGGGCAACAGACCAAGGCTGGAGGGGACTGGCTTTTCTGTGAGCGCCTACCAAGCGCAGGGGATACAACAAGTGGTTGCCCTAACCCTTTTTTTTACCCCTCAGGGTGGATATAAACCATAATTTAAGAGAAACCAAAAATGGTTAAGAAAACAGAAGGTCAGAAAATCGAAGACACTAACCTAAACCCACACAGCACCAGCTCCTACTCCGCATTCATGAGCAGCTTTCTGGATGATCGAATTTGCTTAGCTAAGATGCGCACCCAGCTCTGCCCAGCTCCAGCACTGGCTCCCTTCCCACTTCCCCTTCCTGCCCTCAGCCATCAGGAAGTTCCCTGTGATAGGTGCAGTGAGTCTTTTATTCTGATGGGGGGACCTGGAGTGTGATGAATTTGTGTGGAAGGAAATAAGAGGTGGCCCAGGTCAGGTGCCTACAAAGCTTGGCAAAGACCACTGGGGTAGGTTTGCAGAGGCTGCGTTGGCAGAAATTCAGGGGATTGAGCACTGAGTGGTTTAAAATTAGGAAAGGTGTGTGACAGGGTTGTATTCTTTCACCATACTTATTCGACCTGTATGCTGAGCAAATAATCCAGTAAACTGAGTTATATGAGGAAAAACGTGGCATCACGATTGGAGGAAGACTCATTAATAGCCTGCGATATGCAGATGATACAACCTTGCTTGCTGAAAGTGAACAGGACTTAAAATATTGACTGATGAATATCAAAGACCACAGCCTTCTGTATGAATTGCATCTCAGTGTAAAGAAAACAAAAATCCTCACCACTGGACTAATAAACAACATTCTTTCAACAGAGAAAAGATTGAAGTTGTCAAGGACTTCGTACTTCTTGGATCGACTATCAACATTCACAGAAGCAGCAGTTAAGAAATCAAATGACGTATTGCATTGGGCAAATCTGCTGCACAGGAACTTTTTAAAGTGTTGAAGAGCAAGGATGTCAGCTTGAGGACTAAGGTGTGCCTGACCCAAACCGTGGTATTTTCAATAATGTCATATGCATGTGAAAGCTGGACAGTGAATAAGGAAGACCGTAGAAGAATTGATGTCTTTGAATTATGGTGTTGGAGGAGAATATTAAAAGTGCCATGGGCTGCCAAAAGAACCAATAGATCTGTGTTGGAAAAAGTGCAGCCAGAGTGCACCTTGGAGGCCAGGATGGCCAAACTTCGTCTCTCATACTTCAGACATATTGTCAGGAGGGACCAGTCACTGGAGAAGGATATCATGTTTGGTAAGGTGGAGAGTCAGAGAAAAAGAGGAAGACCCCTAACGAGATGGATTGGCCAAGTGGCAGCATCGATGGGCTCAAGCGTAGCAACGATAGTGAGGTTGGCAACAATAGTGCGGTTAGCCCAGGATCAGGCAGTGTTTCATTCTGCTGTGCATAAGGTTGCTATGAGTCTGTACTGATTCAATGGCACCTAACAACAAAAACAACAAAGCTTTTTGTCTGGAATCCTGGTGTGGCGCTGTGGGCTAATGCATCAGACTGCAAAGTCATTTGAACTGCAAGGTCAGTGGTTCAAGCTCACCAGCTGCTCCTTGGAAACCTAAGACTGGGTAGCTGTGGGTCAGAATCGGCTTGATGGCACTTCACAACAACACCAAAGCCTCTTGTCTCCCCAAATCATTGAGGCATACTGTCACTCAGCACCTTGCCTCCACATGCTGAGGAAGTCCAATGTCCACTGGCCTTAACAACCCTGCTTCCCGACCACCCTCTAGGGCAGGGCTGGGAGCACGGGCCCTGCTTTGAAGTTGGGCAGCTCTCAGCAATGACCAAATATGAGGGTTTCTGGGGGCTTTTCTTGTTGTTGTTGTTAAGTGCCATCGAGTCGGTTCCAACCCATAGCAACCCTGTATAGGGTTTCTGAGGAGCTGCTAGTGAGCTTGAATCACCGACCTTGCAGTTCAAATGACTTTGCAGTCTGACGCATTAACCCACAGTGCCACACCAGGGGGCTTTTCTACTTCCCACAAATTCCAGGGGTTTCCTCCTCACTTCCTTCTAGTGACACACACAGCTGTGGTCTTCTGTTGGCTCCTGTCCACCGGGCTCTCAGGAAGGACCTGTGGAAGGGCACACCTACTATGGATTAGTGGGCCAAAGTGACAAAGAGCCCCAAGGTATGTGTCTCCTCACAGCCGTGTTCAGTGAGGGTCCGCAGGGGTTTTGTCATCGTGGTTACTCAGAGGCCACAATGTTGGGGTGGGATGGGGAGCGGAAACCTAAGAGATGGAAATAGACCAGAACGAGAGGAAGAGGGCCACACAGCCTCCTGGGGCAGGACAGAGTTAGGGGTCTCGGCCCTCTGCAGTGTTCTTTCTGGCACATAGCCTCCAGTGTGACTGCAGATTATGGGTTGCTGCCCACGCAGGTGGAAGGCCCAAGGCGCTGTGCTCACATCACTATGGGTTGGAGCCCAAAGAGCCCTGACCCAGTCACCTGCCTTCCTGGGGTGGGCACAGCGCCTCTCCTACAACAGGCCTGTCCTGGGCTCCAGAGCTAGCTCTCTGAAAAGGTGGCCGTGTGTGTGTGTGTGTGTGTGTGCGTGCGTGTGTGTGTGTGAACGTGTGAGTGTGCATAAGAAGGTGCTCATGAGGGTGAGCAAGTGTGAGAGCTTGTGCCCATGAGTGTGTGCTTGTGAAGGTGAGTGTGCACGGCTGTGTTGTGTGCTGAGTGTGTGTGTGCTTATTGTGTGTGTGCCTGTGAGTGTGGGGATGCCTGTGTTGTGGGTGTGAGGGTGTTAAGGGTGCTAGGGTGTTGTGAGTGTGTCCGTGTTGTATGTATGAGGGTGTTGTGTGTGTGAGGTGTTGTGTGCGTGAGGGAGTTTTGTGTGTGAGGGTGTTGTGAGTGTGAGGGTGTTGTATGAGGGTGTTGTGTGTGAGAGTGTTTTGTGTGTGCTGGTGTTGTGTGTATGAGGGTGTTGTGAGTGTGAGGGTGTTGTGTAAGGGTGTTGCATGTGTGAGGGTGTTGTGTGTGTGCTAGTGTTGTATTGTGAGGGAGTTGTGAGTGTGCCTGTATTGTGTAAGGGTGTTGTGAGTGTGGGGTGTTGTGTGAGGGTGTTGTGAATATGGGGGTGTTGTGTGGGGGTGTTGTGTGTGTGCTGGTGTTGTATGTGCGAAGGTGTTGTGAGGGTGCCTGTATTGTGTGAGGGTGTTGTATGTGTGAGGTTGTTGTGAGTGTGCCTATGACGTGTCTTTGTGAGTACAACGCCCTCTGGTGGTCACTAGGGTGACCCGGCTACAAATCCATAGGAGATCTCTGTAGACCAATGTTGAATTTTCAGAACAGAACACAGCAAGGGTAGAGCCCCTCCTACCCCTTCATTTGACCAGCAGTTACTTAGTAAGCACCGATTGTATGCCCCGTGATGTAATACTTCCTACAAGATTACCTGAGCCCTTCAGGGTCCACAGTTCAAACCCACCAGCTGCTCTCAGATACCCTAAACAGGGATGTTATGAGGTGGAACAGACTCGATGGCACACCGCAACAACAATATAACCACTGCCACCCCATTTCACAGATGAGGAAAGAGAGAACTTAAGTAACTTTCCTGGTGCACAACTAGTGAGGGTTCGTTCGGTCGAGGGTCTGAACCCAGATGTCTTTACCCAGGCCCTGTGTTCTCACAACCCTGCTCCTGGCACAGCCTCATGGATGCCTTGTACCCCCAGTCACACTCCCTCATACGGGGGTCCCCCATACAGCCCAGGCTGGGAGCCCCAGAACCCTCATCCCACCAACCCTCAACCCTCAACCCCAGCTCCCCACCCAGTGCCAGGATGTAGCAGGTGCCTGAAAGACTGAATGAGAGTCAGGTGTCTGTCTCCCCTGGACATTAAGACATCCCCTCTTTGGAAGCCTTCCATGATGTCCCTTCTGCACCCAGGCTGGTCTCCCAGACTCCTGCACCTATGTGTTTGCCTCCCCCTCCTCAGCACTATTGTACTGCCTGGCACATAGTCGGTGCTTACTAATAGGTATTTCTTGAAGGAGCGAATGAGTGAATGAATACAGGCTTCCTAAGAGATATGGGGATGGGGACCATGTGAGAAGAGTTCCCTTTTGCTGCTAAACTGGTATATTCAGCGGTTCAGGGGATTAGGGCGTGGGTATCTACCACCCACACTGGGTTAAGTGGTTCCCCTTCCTCACCGAACCTCAGCCCCTGTGTCCCCCAAAGTCTTGTTGCTTGTGGGACTTTGGTCCCTTGCACCATGCCCATCCACAGATGAAGTCCCCAGGAGGCTAGGTGAGGAAGTGGCCCCCACAGCACCCTGCTATGGGCTTAGTGCAGTGAGGCTGAGGAAGCCGTGAGTGACAGCTGCTTCTGGGGAAGTGTGAGCACCTGGCCAAGGCCGAGCGTTCCTTTTGTGATTGTATCATCAGAACCCGACCCGGCTCACTGCGGCTGCCTAGGCTCAAAGCCTCCCCGGCTCCCAGCGCGGCCCCTCCTTAGACCGGCCTTTGCTGCCCTCTTCTGGCCACGTGAAAATCCACAGGCATCCTACAGCTCTTAGGCTGCTGCGCGCTGGTTCTCCTGGGGCAAGGACTTCCTTTGTTCTCTTTATGGTTACTGTCAGCGATATAAAGACAGAAGGTCATTTCAACCACCTAAGTGGGATCAAAAGGAGCTCTGGTGGCGCAGTAGGTTAAGCGGTGGGTTAAACCTCTCAGGCCCTCCGTGGAGAGAAAACGGAGGCTGTCTGCTCCCATGAAGACTTGAGTCTTGGAAAGACTATAGAGGGCGCTGCCAGTTGGAATCACTGCAGTGGGTTTGGGTTTGGGTGATACAGGGTGAAACTGACAAGAGCAACTGAACTGGTTAGCTAGGAAGCTTCCGAGGCAGTAAGTGTATGGTAATGACAGAGGAGCCCCTGGAAAGGAGGGTGCGAGTGGGCTGCACGACTTGGGGAATGCTGCTGGTGAGTGTATACCCCGCTGTGTATACCCCCGCTGTGTATATGCTCAACAACAACAACACAGCCAAAGGCAATAGGAGGTCATTCCCTAGGATAAGCTGGCTCGGCCTCCTATCACCCAGCTCTGTGCTGTGGGCAGAAACACCTGCTGCTCAGTGAGGCCCTGGTCACCGCCCAGTGGTCAGAGTCCTCACTGGCATGCTAGAGCCACCCCACACCCCTCAATCCCCACCTCAGATCAAGCTCCAGCCCTGGCACTTCCTGGCTCTGTGACCTCCAACTTAACCTCTCTGTGTCTTGGTTTTCTTATCTGCAATACAGGATTGAGAGCGATGGGCACTTACCAGTATTTGGGGTCTATAATAGGGTCTGTTTTGTGCCATGTGCTTTACACCAAAGGAGCCCTGGTGATGCAGTGGTTAAGAGCACTACAGCTAACGTAAAGGTTGGTGGTTTGAACCTACCAGCTATTCCACAGAAGGATGTGGCAGTCAGGTTCTGGAAAGATTGCAGCCTCGGGAACCCTATGGGGCACCTCTAGTCTGTCCCATTGTGTCTCTAGGAGTCAGGATCAACTCAACGGCTTTCTTGTCTCTTACACCTATCTCCTTTCTTAGTCCTCACTGCATCCTCTCAGGCAGGATGGTCTGCACCCATCTTTTCTTTTTTTTCTCTTGTTATGGATTGCTTATATTTCACACATAGCTTTAGGCATATTTCATGGGTTGGTAGGTAACAACAACAAAAAAAAAACAACAACTAAAATGAAGTGAATTTGCATTACAGAAACACAAGAACTTAGACCTGGGGGTACTGGAGAACCTTATTAATCTTTCAGTTTATTTAACAACAACAAGAAAATGGGGCAAGGAGACATGAATTTACCACCTCAAATCCTAGGGCAATTGAAGGCAAGGTTAGGAATGGAACCCAGTCACCTAACTGCAAAGTTAGTGCTCTTTGCATATTCCTATCTGCTTCTAGTCAACCTGTTATACAACTTTTGTTGTTAAGCAATTCATAATGACCCTAAACAGGGTTTTCAAGGAGCAGCTTAGAGGGTTTGAACGTTAGACCTTTCCGTTAGCATTTCAGTACTCATCCTACAGGGCCACACCAGGATTGTGTTGTTGTTAAGTGCCATCAAGTTAGTTACAACCCAGTGTTGTTTTTGTTAGGTGCTATTGAGTCAGTACCAATTCATAATGACCCTATGCACAGGAGAATGAAACACTGCCCAGTCCTACACCAACCTCACAATCATTGCTACATTTGTGTTCATGGCTGCTGCCACTGTGCCAATCCATTTCGTTGGGAGTCTTCCTCTTTTTCTACAACCCTCCACTTGACCAAACATCCTTCTCCAGTGACTGGTCCACCCTGACAATATGTCCAAAGTATGAGAGACAAAATTTGGCCATCCTGGATTCCAAGGAGCATTCTGGCTGTACTTCTTCCAACACAGTTCAGTTTGTTCTTTTGTCAGTCCATGGTACTTTTAATATTCCCTCCAACACCATCACTCAGATGCATTAATTCTTTTACTATATTTCTTATGAGATAATTGAAAATACCCTAACTTGGGTCAGCCACCCATCTTTTATAGATGGGGGTCTGGCCCTCAAAGGGGTTAGCGTCTCCTTACAGACGTAGCTGGCCCAGGAGAAGCTGGGTTTAAACAAGACTCCACTGGGCTCCTCCTCGAGTCCTCCCTCCATCCTTCTCAGTAGACAAGACATATATGTTCCAGAAAGGGTGTTAATTGTTCCTTCTAAACCAGGAGTCGGCCAACTTTTTCTACAAAGGACTAGATTATTGTCATTGTTGTGTGCCAAGGTCATCTAACTCAGAAAGACACTTTAGGATAGAGTAGAAATGCTCATTTCTGAGGCTAAATCTTTACAGGAGCCAACTGCCTCATCTTTCTCTTTAGCCTAATACTTAACCCAATGTGCCACCAGAAACAAATGTCCCCTGGAATCATCCAGGTTGAGAACTGCTGAGCTAGACTAACAGGTCAGTCTGCACTCCACAAGGGCCATCTGGGTGTCAGATCATCCTGCTTTCAAGATTCTACCGCATCTTTGGTTATGTCTTTGGTGAGCAGGCAGAAGGTTCTATACGATGGAGTTCATTTTTTGTCTCTTATGACCCTCTAAACCCTAGCACAGAGTACCTGGATGGGGCAACTAGTCAACCTGCTTGGTTGCTAACCTAAAGGTTGGAGGTTCATGTCCATCCAGAAGTATCTCACAAGAAAGTCCTGGTGGTTGACTTTTGAAGTATCAGTCATTGAAAACCCTACAGACCACAGGTCTACTCTGACACACATGGGGTCACCATGATTTGTGTTTTATAATCCCTGACATGTGTGTGACACTGTAGGGTACGCACTCAACCAAAGATGGATTTGAACAAAAAGGTTGACAGTTTGAACTCTCCAGCTGCTCCTTGGAAACCCTATTTTGGGTCTCTGTAAGTCGGAACCAACTCTATGGCACTTCACAACCACACCACCACATGTTAATAGATGTGCTTGTCACTCTACGGCTTTAACAAGATCCTGATGGCAGGCAACACTCGTTTCCTGGCTGGCATCAGCTCTCCTTTCTCTCTTCCTAACATTTAGGCAGGGATCCACCCCAGGGGAGGGACCCCATCTGCCCTCAGACATAAACTAATTCTCGTAACCAGTCCCCTTGATGGTGATGGGAGCACGGAACCCACTCTTGGCCAGTAAGAGGCAAGAAGACAGGACGGGGGTGTGAATGAGCCATCAGACATACTGCCACCTCCACTGGTGACCAAGTCTGATGGCAGATGTCCTAGCCGCTCACTCTCCACTTCGCAGCTGGGTTTCAACGAGTCACTGCAATGGTCACAGAGAACTCAGAGAGCACACTCATAGTTATGGGGTTTACTAAGGAAATTGCTGTTGCTAACTGCTGCGAGTTGGTTCCGACTCACCAAGACCCTGTATAGGATTTCCAAGGAGCAGCTGGTGAGTTTGAACCACCAACCTTGTGGTTCAAACCAACCTTGAGGTCTAGTGCTTTATCCCACAGCGCCACACTAGGACTCTGTGCCACACCAGGTTACAAAAGTAACCGTTTACAATTTAGGATCGAGATCACCTTGGAAATCACAGAAAAAAACTGAGACAGCATACAGTTTGTGAATCAGGACAGCCTGCCACCAAGCCAGCTCTCAGCTCCCTGTGGCCACACCTGCAGGCAGGCTGTCCTTGGACTCTGCTGCTGCCCACCAGCCTGGCCCAGGGAAGTACTACAGCTCTTTGGGTCTGCAGACGTAGGGGCTAGAGGCACCTGACTCCACCAGCAAGCCTCAGGCCAGAAGGTGCTCAGCACTCCTGCTTCATAGGTCAGGAAGCCCACCACAGCCATCTCACACTGGTCTGCTGGTTCCTGCCACTGATGCCACTGTCCCATTCTCCCACCATCTCCCATGTGACAGCTCTCTGTCACCTGAGTCTAGGAGGTTCTCAGCACAAGGATCCAGAACAAAGGATGTGCTCCACTCTACACTCTTCTCAATGATACTGAGGGCTCCCTCAATCTCTGTGGGATAAGCTCTTTCATAAACCTGCTCACTCCCTTCCGTAGGCCACAGGCACCTTATTTGCATTGCAAACTGCCCAATCCCTTTGCAGGATTGTGGTCTACCAGATCACCTTGGCAGAGTTACAAACCCAGGCCAGCAAGGTCACATACAAGTATAAAGAGAAGCCCTCTTGCATTGAAGGGGGGCCTCAGATCCGCAAACCTGCCAGGCTCTTCCCACCCCACCCCAGGATGGCCCCCACCATCCTGAGCCCACAAGGCAGCCACTTTGGGGAGCAGAATAGAAGAGTGTAAAAAACTGGGTTGCTCATGACTTCTGGGATGTTGATCGAACCCGCCCTGGGGTAACGTCTTCAGCCTTCTTGGGGCAGAAGAATGTATTTTCTGACTACTGAAGTTAGTGGAGGCTGAGCTTTCTGTTACAGATGAAAAAAATGTGCCACAAGACCCCGCAGGAAGCCCCCACACAGATGCATACAGTAGGTGCATAATACAGTTGACCTTTGAACAATGTCATGGGTAGGGACACAGACCTCGCATGTAGTTGAAAACAGGTGTATAATTTAAAGTTGACCCTTGGGCCCACTTACATGCAGATCTTTTTTCCTGTTATAGCTGCAAGCTCAAGTGTGGAGTATTGGCTTAAAACGCCACGTGATACCCATCATCTCTGCATGAGCAGTTTGTCTCTCCGCTAATTAGTTAATTATAATCAATAAATAAACTGTACCAGTGAATTCTATAATTTTAACAAATGATCCTTGATACTGGTGAAGCTGATTAACATCACATGGTGTTTTAAGCAGATACTTTCAGATATTGCTCACTGTAAAAGCAAAAAAAAAAAAAAAAAAACCCCACTTACTTATAAGAGGGTCTTGGCCAACAACCTGTTGTTCAGGAGTCAGCTGTACAATGTTCCTAGGACATGCATTTTGAAAAGCACTCTTAGACAAACTGTGCAGGTCAGTCCCACACAAAGGGTGCATACAGTAGGTGCTCAACAGACATGGTTCTTTGACATGCAGTTTGAGAGACTGGCTCACCTGCTTTCTCTCTGGCAGACTGGTCTTACTTTGGCTCTAGGCCTGAGCTCAGAAGTCTCACCTGGGGGTGTGGTCCGAGCACAAGTTCAATGCCCCTTCTCAGGTTCTGTATGGAACAGAGCCAGGGACTCAGGGGCACCCTCCCTCCTGTGATGCCTGGAAGTGGGTAATAAACCAGGTTGTTTCCACACAGTGGCGGTGCCCCCGAGACACTTCTATAGAGAACAGTGGCCATGGCATTTGTCATAATTTGCTGGATGATTCCTCACCACTGGACATGGAAATGCAGAGGGCAAATAGGCATTGTTCAGTGATGCCCCCAACATCAAGTAGTGCCCAGAGCACATGACACGCCTGCCATACTCTAAACATGGCT